ATGTATGGCCAAAGACAAGGATCCAGGCAGGGGGCTGAGAACTGGAGACCAGAGGCAGCACCAGCTGGGTGCTGACTTCCACATGCTGCAGCAGATTGGCACCTTGCAATAGATTCATGTTGGGGGCCATCACTTCAGCACTGACCCATGACTCTACCCTCAGGAAACCACTGCTGTTCTGTGTAAGAGTAGAACTTTTGGGTCACTCTTGCGAGGACTTTGGGAGGGGAGTGGAAGACTGATGGATGAATAAATTAAAGAATGACGAAGGCATAGACAGGTGGAGAGAGGAACATGGGGACAAATGTGGAGGAAAAGCAGCAGGGAAGCAGGGATCAAGGAAATTTTTTTTCAAACGTACATCAATCTTCTCTCAGTTTTAAAAGTTTGTTTTTTATCGGTTTTAGATATAGATTCACTATTTTTTATACAGGCTCCCTCTTTGACTTTTTGTCAGAGACAGCTTTACTACACTAACTTTGAATATATTTTCCCTTTAGTGTTCCCCACTAACCATACTGATTCTGCCTCTTGCATACTCCTAATCCTCACCGATCTTTGCGTATTCCATCTTTAGCCCATCCTGCCCTGCAGTGCTATATGACCCTTGTGGGTTTAGCTCTTAGTTTTCATTGTAATAATAATATAGATTCACTCTCATATGTCAGTACAGTCTTTTCAACTATTTTCTAAATCTAATATGAAAAAGATGCCTTGCACTACACAAACCAAAAATGGATTTTTTTTTTCCATCAAACCAGCCATATCCCACCGAGGCAGGATGACCTAAAAAGAAAAACGAAAGTTTCTCTCTTTAAATTTAGTAATGTATACAGGAGAAGGGGGTTAGTCCCCTAAGAGGTGAACATGAGACTCACCTTCAAGGCAGAGGTGATGATGACAGCATCTAGGTGAATCACCACCTTCCCCTCAGGCCTTAAGTTCCTCACTTCACACCTGTCAACAAGCAGACATCAGTTGAGGCTCTTATCTTGCTTATGTTTCAGCATCAGTAGTTACCCCAACAAGGAATACATGCAGTCCAAAATCAAACTGACAAATATTATGTAAATCTTCAGGGAAATTAAGAGAGCAACATGTAACTAACTGATGCAGTGCTGTATGACCCTTGTGGGTTAAGCACTTAGTTTTGATTGTAATAATAATAGATTAATACACTACCATATATTTAGGACTGTGGGGGGCACCATGCATTATTTTTATTTTGTAGTCTCGACTATATTTTTTTTTTATTTTGGGGCGAGTGATACACCCATAAGGGTCATACATTGGTCAGGTAATGGAAGGCATCCAAGTCAGATTCAAGGAAGGGGAAGACAAGTCTGTACAAAATTACATATCAAACTCAAAAGTTCTCATTAAAGATTCACCCAGTTTTTTATTAATAATAAAATAAAGTAATTACTTTGGTTATTAATTGAATTATTGTAAAAATTATTTCTCCTAATCATATTATAATTAAAGCAGCTTTAGGACATTTCAATTTTTCTACTAAAATTTAAATTAAGGTATAACGAAAAATATGTATCTTGAGTAAAAGTGCCTGATTTTATAGTGTAGAGACCCCTCAGAGGTGTGTATGTGTACATACATTGAAAGTCAAGAGAAATATCAAAGAGCCAACAATATGGTAATTAACACATGGGCTGTTTCCCACCAAAACAGGGTGACCTGAAGAGGAAGAAACTCTCATCATTGCTCACTCCATCACTGTCTTGCCAGAGGTGTGCCAATAACACAGTTCAAAAACTGCAACATATCAAATGCAGAGGTTTTGATTTATCTTCCATTAAACTGGCTGAGATAAACAAGTAACATGTTTCTACAACTACAGTCCACATTGTATTAGATCAGACCTCTCTAGGAAGGTGCCTTAATGCTGGTCAGGGGTTCTTGAGCCAAGGAATTGGATTTATCCTTCCCTTCGATTGAGCCTGAATGCTTTTCATTCCCAAATGTTAAATGATCCTATGGGTTTAGCACTCTACCAATTAAAATATATTAGAACAGAGAAACTGAGCAAGCATTGGGCAGGTAGGTTTGTTTCCCTGCTTCTCTCATCTCCATTATTCAACACCCGAATATCCAGACCTAACACGCAGCACCTGACTTCCCACGTGTATTATATAAGATGTGATTTTTTTGTTTTATGTACTTAAGAAAGCCAATTTGTGGTGAAGAAATATATCATTAAAGCCTTCTCTGTATACCAGTGGTAGAATATACTGCCCTGCCAAGTATGTTACTAATATACCATAAACTGTATATTGTATCTTATTGAGAAGACTTTTGGTCTACCACGATAACTGATGAAGTCACTGGTAGATGAAGCATCTTAAAATCCCACACACTGCATACTGTCTCACTAACAAAGACTTTTGCAGCCACTCTCTTACCACTGAATCTTATCTCAAGTAATTTAAGGATTAGGGTATTCATGAATGTTGGTGTGCAGGTTAATTGTCTTAACCCTTTGACTGTCGCAACCCCCAATCCTGAGGTGTCTCATGGTGTCGCAAAATTTAAAAAAAAAAAAAACTATTTTTTCTTATGAAATGATAATCTTTTCCCGATTGTAAAGACACCAAAAAAACGAAATTTGTTGGAAAACTGACGGAATTATGCTCTCGCGAAGTTAGCGACCTCGGCGATATTTACAAATCGGCGATTTCACCCACTTTGAGCCCTATTTTCGGCTAATTCCATTGTTCCAGTCGACCAAACTCATAGCTATTTCTTTAGAACTCCATTTTTTCTATTGATTGAGTACAAGAAACTGCCCATTTACCGATTTCAACTACCCAATAATGTGGTCAGAAATTTGCAATTTGGCCAATTTCACGAAAATTAAAAAAATATGACAATTTCAAAATAAGGTCCAGAATGAACAATGCAGACATTCCTGGCTCTAAAATAACATTTTCTTTGTTCATCAGTCATGTCTCCAGGCCCCTCTGATATTACTCTTGCTTTCTATTTTGAATTTTTATTCAAACAAAAAATAGAAGACTTACTATTATGCAGACTACTGCAATACTGTAATAATTGTATAAATAACATTAACCCATTCATGACTGCATATTAGAATGGCTAGTTGGACATTTATTGGACAATGACATTATTTGTTTACTTTTGAACATCAGCAAAAATCAAACATTTTCCCTACTTTGAGATCCATTTCAAGGTTCTTTATTTAGTAAAATCAATCAAAATCACCTCTACTTCTATAATATGTTTTCCATTCTATCAAATGAGACCAAGAAAACGAGAATACAACTATAAATACTATACGAAAATAGACCACAAAATCGGCATTTTAATTAAAAAAAATGGTCGGAGTTTTTTTTTCTCATTATGCACTGCGTGCTCCAGGATTTTTTTTATATGGTGCACACTGACCACGCAGACCCATTCTCTCACATGTGGGCCTACCAGCTTTCTCCTGCTTGATTTGAAGCTGCTAGAATTTATGAGTATATATACGTCAAACACGGTACCTCGTAAGACGTATATATACGGCCGCGGCAGTCAAAGGGTTAATGACCCTCCTGCAGTCAACAGGCTTTAAGTCTAATTATACCTATATAGATTGGGACTCCCGTGTGAAAATAATACCTGTGAATGTAACATTCGAAGGTATGACAGGACACCATCTGGTCAACAGGTTGACCTAATGCATTTCCTGTAGGCAGTGCCTCAGAGGTATTGTGGCACTCTAATGTAGCTCCTGGTGGCACTGTCACCCTTGGCATCTTCAACAGGAAGAACTGCACCCCATCTGTCCTGTTCCTTAGTGGCCAATGAATCTCTATCTGAAAGAGGAATAGCTGATGGGTGAAGGATTTAGAGCAGGGGTAAAACTGTAAATCAATTTATTCACAAGGATGTGCTAAAGCCATGTGACCCATTGAATCAATGAGGATATCACATGAGTAATGATACACCCACCTTGGTTACTCACCTGAGTATGGATGAGTGAGATGAGGCCAAGGTTGATGAGAGTGTAGGTGTGTGTTATTGTTGCTTCAGTCTCATTGTTCTCCCTGATACATCAACAAGACAAACCCAATATTTATTATCACAATTGTAATACACCACTTTGTGTGGCTACCTTAACCTCTATTTAATAAGGGGGTATTAGAAGCAAGGAGGCATTAATAACATTACTATCAGTAATAAAAGTTACAATAAAAACACCAACAAGGAAGGCAGGGTTGTGTACTGCCATGGGAGGCAGATATAACAGTAGTAGTAATAGTAACAGTATTAGTATTAACAGAAGCAGTAGCACCAATAAATAATCCCAGTGTTCACAGCAACACTGGTCTTATACTACAGTGTTCACTTAGCTGGTATAAGCAAGCAGCAGCAGTAGTGTACCTTGGGTAGATGGTAGTGTTCCCCTGCAGTGCCTCCACAGGTATCCCGAAGGTGATGACACTCAGAGACTCTGGCTGACTCTCCCTACACACACAGCAAGACAGAGGTGATGAGCTACATGACCTGAACTCTATCTACTACACTAGAATTATTATATTTACAAGGAAGTTCTAATCCCTAAGGGTTATTTGGCACCTGGGGTATGGTGGGTCATCAGGTTTCACCCAATATGGTAGCCAATTCCTTAAACAAAGAACCAGTTGCTAGCATCAAGAGACCCCTCCTTCCTCCTTGAAGGCTTGAAAGGAAAGGACCAGAATGGGGAAAGGGGAATGAACTTAGCCAATGAGGCATACAAACATTTCTAGTCTAAAGTTTTGATCTAAAAAATGGATTTTTTCCAGTCCTCCTTTAACCAAACCTGTTCCCTTTTCTTTCCAAGGTGCTATGTACTCGTATAATTTTAGGCTTCTCTTTGATTAAAAAAATGAATTGCGTGTGAGGTAAGGGGAGGTCAATTAGGTGAGGAATGTTTGTGATTCACCACACACAATTATAATTTATAAATAACAAACAAAGGGGATGGGAGCATTAGTAAGTGCATTATAGTGGGCCCCCTTTGGCGGTTAGGTTCCCGCTCCCAAAATAAAGCAGAACGCCTTTTTTTTTTCCACTTTAAATGCAGATAACAGTTTACTTTAACATATTTTAAAATTTAGCAAAAAAAACTGGGCATTAAAAAAAATAAAAAAAGTAAAATACATATGTATTACTTTCTTAAAATATGTGAAATCTTAATGAAGGGTGGGGGGATTAGTTTTTATTGAGGTGTCGGGGTCGGTATGGTGCTTCCCCTGGCAAACCACACTACATGAAAAAATAACTTGACAAATTTAAAGTCCCTATAGCAATTTTTTTATTTTTTTTTTTTCAAAAAGTCGGCCATCCCACTTTGTTTTTTAATGTGTATTGATGCCCGCACAGTGTGAAATTTTTTTTAGTTACAGGTTTCACGGTAAAATTTCAGATACGGGGACCCGAGTTTCTTTCAGCTCCCAATCGAACAGTTATGTAAGTGTTTTTTGTGAGTGCTTTTGAAGTGTTTGGTAGTAGGTTGGTAGCAGAAACCACCGGGGGAAGTACTCCGTCCTCCCGAGACTGTAAAACAAAAACCTGAAACGTTTTGCATGTTGGGGATTGCTGGTTTTTTTTTTCTGTCTCATAAACAGCTAGATAAAGGGATTCTTGCAAATCATTTTACACTTTGGTCCACTTACAGACAGCATGCTTTAAAATTTATTCATCATTTGGTTTTTTTTCCCATTCTAATAGCTCTTGTTTTTTTTTATTTCTTTATTGTCCATGGGGAAAGGGGAAAAAAGAATCTTTCCCCCGTAAGCCAGGGTGTCGTTGAGGCGACTAAAATGGGGGGGCAATGGGTAGTAAACCCCTTCTCCTGTATCATTTACTAAAAAAGAGAAGAAGAAAAACTTTAAAAAAAGGGTTGTTTAAAAATGTGCGTGGATGTGTGCGGATGACAAGAAACAGATGATTGCTGATGTTATAATGAAAAGAAGTTGGATGTCCTGGCTCTAAGCGAAAACAAAGCGAAGGGGGAGGAGGTTTCAGTGGGGGGAAAAAATGGGTTTAAAATTGGAGTATCAAAGGGTTTTTGAGCAAAGGAAGGGGTAGCAGTAATGTTAAATGACAGTTATGGAGGGAAAAAGGAAAATGAATGTGTAAATTCGGAATTATGTGGGTTAAAGAAAGGTTGGTGGAGAAGTGGGTCATAAAAGCGTGTATGCACCCGGAGAAGGGAAGGGGGGGAAAGCAGAGGAGGAGAGAGATTTTTGGGGGAAAGTTAAATGAATGTTTTTTTGGGGCCTTTTAACCAAAGTGAGGGGAGTAATTGTGGTAGGGGGGCCTGAATGTAAAGTAGGGAAATTTTGAGAGGGGTGGTGGTAAAATTTGGGGTGGTCAGGTTTTTAAATGATAATGGGAGCCCCTTTTACTTGAAATTTGTATGAAAGGGGGTTTTTTATGGTAATACATTTTTAGAAAAGAGGGGAAATAAGATACACGATATGATGTAGGGGAAATGACAGTAGTTTGTGGATTATGTTTGTAGATAAAAAACGTTGAGTAGACTTAGGATTTTACTGTTTATCGGGGGCCACAGAATATCAGATCATTTCTAGTTGTAGCTACATGAGGTAAAGGTAGAGGGATCAAAGGGGAATGAAGCATCGGGAAGAGAAGGGGGAAGGGTTTAAAAAACTAAAAGGGAGGCGTTTTGGGTAAGATATAAAAAAGCTATTGGGGATAGAGGGTAATGGGCTTGGCAATGGGGTCGAAGAGGGAATGGGTGGTTTAAAAGTAGTTTAGAGTGTTCAGCAGAAAGTTTTTGGTTACAGGAAAGGGGGGAGGAGGGAAGAGGAGCGATTGGGGAAAGTGATGTAAAGAGAAGTAAGGGGAAAAAGTTACATAGAGAAGTTTTTACAATAGTAGAAGGATGCAAGGAGGAAGAGTATAGGAGAAAAGAGAGAGGTTAAGAGATGGTGAAGAATGTAAAAAGGGCAAATGAGAGAGTGGGTGAGCTGTTTCAACAAATTTTTTTGAAAAAAGAAAAAGTTTTGGAGTGGATTAACAAGTTAAGGAACCCTAGAGAAAAATTTGGATTTGTCAGTTAAAAAGGAGAGGAGGTTATTAAATGGAGAGTTGAGGTATTGGGAAGATGGAGGGAATATTTTGAGGAATTGTTAATGTTGATGAATAGGGAAGCTGTGTTTGTGTATAGGGCAAGGAGGTTAAAAATTTGTAGGAGTGAGGAAGAGCCGTGTGAGTGTGGGGGAAGTTGTAAAAGGCAGTAGGTAAAATGAAAGGGGTTAAGGCAGCGGGATTGATGGGAAAGATAGAATGTTAAAAGAGGTGGGGATATAGTTTTGGAGTGGTTGGGTTTTGAAATTATTTAATAAATTGTATGAAGGGAAGGTACCTAGGGTTGGCAGAGAGTGTAGCCCTTTGTATAAGGCAAGGGGATAAAGAGAGTGCAAAAATTATAGGGGGATAAGTCTGTTGAGTGTACTGGTAAATGTATGGTAGAGTTAAATTGAATGAATTAAGAGTAAGAGGAGAATAGGATAGCAGAATGAACAGGAGGTTTAGGAAAAAGTAGGGGGTGGGACCAGGTGTTTACATTTAAAACCCATAAAATTGAACGTATTTAGATAAGCTAAAGAGTCTTTGTGGCATTTATGGATTTGGAAAAGGCGTATGACAGGGTGGATGGGGGGCAATGTGGCAGATGTTGCAAGTTATGGTGTAGGAGGTAGGTTACTGAAAGCGTAAAGGGTTTTTTACGAGGATAGTGAGCTCAGTTAGAGTATGTAGGAAAAGAGGGAAATTTTTTCCAGTAAAAGTAGGCCTTAGACAAGGATGTGTGATGTCACCGTGGTTGTTTAATATATTTATGATGGGGTTGTAAGAGAAGTAAATGCAAGGGTCTTGGGCAAGAGGCGTGGATTTAAAAAGATAAAGAATCACACACAGGGTGGGAGTTGTCACAGCTGCTCTTTGCTGATGACACTGTGCTTTGGGAGTTTCTGAAGAAAAAGCTGCAGAGATTGGTGGATGAATTTGGTAGGGTGTGCAAAAGAAGAAAATTAAAGGTGAATACAGGAAAGAGTAAGGTTATGAGGATAACAAAAAGATTAGGTGATGAAAGATTGAATATCAGATTGGAGGGAGAGAGTATGGAGGAGGTGAACGTATTCAGATATTTGGGAGTGGACGTGTCAGGGGGAGGGTCTATGAAAGATGAGGTGAATCATAGAATTGATGAGGGAAAAAGAGTGAGGGGTGCACTTAGGAGTCTGTGGAGACAGAGAACTTTGTCCTTGGAGGCAAAGGGGGAATGTATGGAGTATAGTTTTTCCAACGCTCTTATATGGGTGTGAAGCATGGGTTGATGATGTTGCAGCGAGGAGAAGGCTGGAGGCAGTGGAGATGTCATGTCTGAGGGCAATGTGTGGTGTGAATATAATGCAGAGAATTCGTAGTTTGGAAGTTAGGAGGAGGTGCGGGATTCCCAAAAAACTGTTGTCCAGAGGGCTGGGAAGGTTGTTGGGTGGTTGGGGCATGTAGAGAGAATGGAGCGAAAACAGAATAACTTCAAAGTGTATCATGTCTTTTAGTGGAAGGAAGGCGGGGTAGGGGTCGGCCTAGGAAGGGTTGGAGGGAGGGGGTAAAGGAGGTTTTGGTGCGAGGGGCTTGGACTTCCAGCAGGCATGCGTGAGCGTGTTTGATAGGAGTGAATGGAGACAAATGGTTTTTAATACTTGACGTGCTGTTGGAGTGTGAGCAAAGTAACATTTATGAAGGGATTCAGGGAAACCGGCAGGCCGGACTTGAGTCCTGGAGATGGGAAGTACAGTGCCTGCACTCTGAAGGAGGGGTGTTAAAGTTGCAGTTTAAAAACTGTAGTGTAAAGCACCCTTCTGGCAAGACAGTGATGGAGTGAATGATGGTGAAAGTTTTTCTTTTTCGGGCCACCCTGCCTTGGTGGGAATCGGCCAGTGTGATAATAATAAAAATTTTGTAAGTGTATTTTTGGGGGGCTGAAACGGACTAACCTAATTTACATTATTCCTTATGGGAACAAATTCATTCAGTAGCAGCACTCGAACAGCCTTCTGGAATGAATTATGGCCGAAATTCGGAGTACCACTGTATATATAAAATACGCAGTAACTTTAAAACTTGAAATCTTGGAATGTTTCCAGATATAATTGAGATGCTCAGCTCACGGAGGATGTAAACAAACAGTGGTGTGCAGAGGCCATAATAACGAGTCAGGTAGGGAGCTGTATAACAGGTTTTGGTTGTAATTTTAAATGTCCGTTATTAGCAAAAAAGCTGTAAAGGGGCCGGGGCCCTACTGTATTGGTTTAAAGATGAGCCAGGAGCTGGAGAGATTTCTCACCTCATCCATAATTAGGCAAGTATTTTGTACATCCGCACACACACCCAAAAATCAACAACCTGGTTCCTACCCTACTAAACTACAGGGGTTGTGGTCTGATAAAAGTTGGAACCAGATGAAGCAGGTGGGAAGCTTGGGCTTCATGGGCAAAGTACAGCCTCTCCTCATTTAGCGGACATACTTGTTTACCGACGATTCGGCTTATGACAGGCTCTCTGACAAGTATGCATATCTAATGTATATTAAGAGCTGATTTCCTCTATTCTGTTTATTACAGTATACAGTGACTATTGTATACACATTTAAAAATATTTACCAGAAATGTTATAAATGGTGCAAAGGTGACATTAAAACAATATGAGAGATGGTTGACACCAAACCCAAATACCATTATTGTATGCTCCTTGCTTAGCAATGAATTCATTTACTGATGTGGTCTTAGGAACAGAACTCCCTCATTAAGTGAGGAGAGGGTGTAAATGCTGAAGGCAGTTCACAAGAGCTATGCTTCACAATAAACCGCACTTAGAAGAGAAAAATGATGACTACCCTTTTGGTCTGTCCTGGATCACTAAGACAACGTTGTGACCTGACAATTATCCAGGACAAACCAAAAACATAAAATTTTCCTCTCATAAGTGTGGGTTATTTGTGAATTGTTCCAGCCTTGGTATTATGATAGTTATTTAAAAGTGGATTACCCGTCCACTTATCATAATAGTCATGGGGAATGTGCTAGCTCACAGGGTCATACAGATCCTATTGATTCCTTTTATATAATCTATTGGGCCTAAAGCTAGGTAATGAAGGCAGACTTGATACCCGGTTTCAAAGTAATGAAGGCAGGCTCGATACTTGCTTTCAAAATTAGATTCCAAAGTACAAGGTTCACTATTTTTTTTAGATGTATGAAATGCCATAGGTTTGAACCTATGAATCAGACAAGGAAGCAGAGGCAGTTTTGATCCAGTTATGGGTTTTTTTCCTCACAGCCAATACTGTGAGGTAAACCTGTGGGGTCCTGATGGCCCCCAGGTTGAACTCGTGTACACCCTTTGCCTTAGTGCTTTTTCACCACTTGTCAGCTTTATACCAGTTATCTTCTGGTTTGTATGTGTTTTTGAATGTAATAATTTCCCTTACCCGGAAAGATCAAAGATAGGCGAGACCCTGGGCAAGGATGGAGGTGGCGGTGGTTATCAGTGTGGTTTCTTTGGTTTCAGTACCCATACAGACAGATCAGTCTGCAGGATAGACTCCTCCTGTGTCTGTGTTTTAGTTTAACAGTCTCTCCACATTTTGTCTCCATACTTCAGGATGTTGAATGAAAATGAAAACTGGAGGAATTATCAAAAAAAGACAGGAGCAGGTTAAGGTTTAAGCTGTGTGCGAGTGTTTAACAGAATCGAGGCTGAAGGGGTTGTGCGTGTTGTGTTATGTGTATTTTTATGGGAGAGGCCTGTCTAGAGGAAGTGTGTCTAGGGTAAACTCAGATATATGATGATATTTTTACATGACCCCGATGGTCATGGGTTATATTTCCATTTCATGGATGTGGACATTGAGGCAAAACTTTGTGTGTGTATGCATGTATGTATGAATGTACTTGTATGTATTTTTATCTCACATTATTATTATAATTGAAAGGAAATGTTAAGCCTATTAGTCATATAGACAAGAGCATTCTGAATTCCAAAGAAAAATTATTTTTTTATATTAAAAAACCCTGTATGTGTCTTTACATGAACCCCAGGGACTGTCTAAAAAAACCAAAATTCTTTCCAGGACCGGGAAAACGATGCTGGTATTTTACCTTGCGCCGGGCCCGGGCCTCCTTTTTTAGGGGGTATGAAAGTGCCATTGAGGGCAGGGGAAAATGTGTTTGTGTTGAGGGGGATCTACAGGACGAGGACATACTGTGCCCCCCTGCAGAGTCAATTCAAAGGCGTGCTTTTTTCCACTTGAGTGTCGCCCTTGCCTCTACCGTTCCTCCCCACCACGAAGAAATCCGGGGGCCCAACAACATGTGGGAATGAGAATAAGAAGGAGAGAGTAAAAACCAGAAGAGATAAGGAAGCTGTAGATATGAAGGCCTAACCTAAGGGATCTCTCAGCACTCTTGGCAATAAGAGTATTAAATAACACAAAAAACATCCAGGTTAAAAATAGGAGATGGAGAAACTTTTTTTTTTAATGCACTTGCCGTATCTCACCAAGGCAGGCTGACCTAAAAAAGAAAAACAAAAGTTTTTTTTTTTTTTTTTTTTTTTTTTTTTTCAACAAGTCGGTCGTCTCCCACCGAGGCAGGGTGACCCAAAAAAGAAAGAAAATCCCCAAAAAGAAAATACTTTCATCATCATTCAACACTTTCACCACACTCACACATTATCACTGCTTTTGCAGAGGTGCTCAGAATATAACAGTTTAGAAGCATATACGTATAGAGATACAAAACATATCCCTCAAACTGCCAATATCCCAAACCCCTCCTTTAAAGTGCAGGCATTGTACTTCCCATTTCCAGGACTCAAGTCCAACTATATGAAAATAACCGGTTTCCCTGATCCCTTCACTAAATATTACCCTGCTCACACTCCAACAGATCGTCAGGTCCCAAGTATCATTCGTCTCCATTCACTCCTATCTAACACGCTCATGCACGCTTGCTGGAAGTCCAAGCCCTCACCCACAAAACCTCTTTACCCCCTCTTTCCAACTCTTTCGAGACGACCCCTACCCCTCTTTCCTTCCCCTATAGATTTATATGCTTTCCATGTCATTCTACTTTGATCCATTCTCTCTAAATGACCAAACCACCTCAACAACCCCTCTTCTGCCCTCTGACTATGCTTTATTAACTCCACACCTTCTCTAATTTCCACACTCCGAATTTTCTGCATAATATTTACACCACACATTGCCCTTAGACAGGACATCTCCACTGCCTCCAACCATCTCCTCGCTGCTGCATTTAACCACCCAAGCTTCACATCCATATAAGAGTGTTGGTACTACTATACTTCATACATTCCCTTCTTTGCCTCCTAGATAACGTTTTTTGACTCCACATATACCTCACGCACCACTCACTTTTTTCCCTCATCAATTCTATGATTAACCTCATCCTTCATAAATCCATCCGCCGACACGTCAACTCCTAAGTATCTGAAAACATTCACTTCTTCCATACTCCTCCTCCCAATTTGATATCCAATTTTTCTTTATCTAAATCATTTTGATACCCTCATCACCTTACTCTTTTCTATGTTCACTTTCAACTTTCTACCTTTACACACATTCTCAAACTCATCCATTAACCTTTGCAATTTTTCTTTAGAATCTCCCCATAAGCACAGTATACATCAGCAAAAAGTAACTGTGTCAATTCCCATTTTGAATTTGATTCTTTTTACATTTACTAATTTATACAGAAGATTGGTTACTAGCCCCTTGTTCCTGGCATTTTAGTTGCCTCTTACAACATACATGACTGACAAAGGAAGAATTCTTTTTCACTTCCCATGGCGGTAAGAGGGAAATAAAGAAGAACAAGAACTATTAAGAAAATAGAAGAAAACTCAGATGAGTGTGTATACATATGTATGTGTAGTGTGACCTAATGTTAGTAGAAGTAGCATGATTATTATTTTTAATTGGGAGAAACAACGGCGCTTTGGATTGTCCTCTCAAGGGAGGTCTCAGTGGAATCAAGGTGTTCATGGTCAATGCAACTTGACCTGTCCTCCCTTTCTTGGAGTTGAATCTATTTCCCCCAGATGCTGTGGTGTCTTTGTCTAGCTTTCAAGCTTGTATGTGGTTCCCTCACTTTTCCTTTCCTCACTCTTCTCAGCTAACACCCTTCCCTTGCTTCCCTAACTTACACCCCCTTTGCTTTTCCCCAGCTTACACCCTCCTTTTGCTCTCCCCAGTTTACACCCTCCCTCGCTCTCCCAGTTTACACCCTCTTACTCTCCCCAACTTACACACTTCCCTCAATCTCTCCAGTTACCCGTGGTTAAAATTTTTAAG